TTATCAGCAGCAAGACAATTAAGTCCTATATTACGACGAAAAGTTAGTGAACGTCTTAAAAAAAAAGAATTTGATGACAAAAATGATAAAGGTATTAGTCGTAGTCGAAGTCTTATACGACGAACATCTATGAAAAAAAAATCAGGAACATCATCTGCCAGTGGTGATAAACATTCACCGGAAACACCTGATTGTTTAGTTTCTTAAATTTTATCTTATGTTTAAAAGTTTTTTTTTTTTTTTCCATACATATATTTATATTTAAACCTTTGTTCATTGATTTTCCTTTTATGTCTCTGTTCTACACAATAAAAAAAAAAAAACCAAAAGAAAATGAAACTATCAAATATAAAATTAGATTATCACTTCAGAAAATTTTAATTATATACAAAAGAAATGATATTTTAATTGATTTTTATTGTCCTATAATTACATTATTTTGATTATTTGGTTTTCTACATCAAGAAAAGAAAAAAAAAATCAAACACATTCAATTGAACCGGTTTTACTTTTTGTACCTTGTGAATAATTTGTATCCTATAATAATGATAAAATGTCATGCAATCTATTCTCAAAAAAGATAATTAGTTTCTTTTTTATTATGAAGTTGTTATATGGGTTCATGGTTAATAAATATTTGTTAAAATGTTTCTTCCAGCACAAGTATCTTGTTTAACGTCTCAATATTCCAGATTTAGTTTCATTTGTTCAAAAATAACAAGCTCACTAAAATTTCGAAATTTTTTTTTTTTTTTTATTTTATAATTAAATAACGATTCCAATTGAATGAATGGTCTAGTTTTAGATATAATTCTTCTACAACACATAGTTTATTATTATAAAGTTCGAATTCGATATGAATAACAAGGTTGAAAGAATCTATGTTTAAATAAAACAATGTTTTTTTGACATACTAATGAAATATTTTACCTTTCGAACTCGATTAGAAATTACAATCAAGATAGTGTGTCAGTGTCAATAGGGTATTCTGCCCTGCTCTGCTTCAATGGACCGAGTAGAGAGCAGGGCAGAATGCGAAAAAAAACATTCTGTGAATAGCTCTGATTCTGACTCATTTTCTTATTTTTATCGATCTATATTTAACAGTAATAGAAAGTAATCGGATCAAAAGTCTTTTATAGTGAAAAGATAAAATAGCGTACATAAACTAATTTGATTTTCCGTATTTGAGAATACGGAAAATAGATATTCTCTCATGTCAATATATTTTAAATAGAAATCCTAACGAATAACATTGTCTGTTTGCATATTATCTTTTTACTAATATGAAATTCTAGATATGAGATTGTTTTTTTTCCAATTAATAACAGCAATGAAAAAAAAAAAAAAAAGAAAAGAAATTTTTCATGTAAATAATTTTTTTTATTTGAAATTGATCTATATTATAGTTAATGATCAAAAACAAAAAAACTAATTTAGTTTTAACAAAGTTTGCTTTAAGCATTTATATCATCAAGAGAAATTTCATTTTTTTTGTTCTCTATTTTTGTTCTATTCATTGTTTCATATTAATTTCACACTTCAATAGATTTTGTTATATAATATTATTTGTGTCCGACTATTATGAAAGAAAAAAAAAAAAATGAAAGGTATTTTTACTTTGTCGATTAAAAATTTCATGATGTTGCATTCACCATATTCATTAGTTGATCTTTCAATTGCTTGAAAACAGAATTGAACTGTTATCAAATGTTCATGATAAAACGCAAAGGCATCGAGATAACGTCCGTCAAAATAATATAACAACTACTGAATTATATTCTTGTTTTGTAAATATATTTCTGTGATTGTATTAGTTCCAACATATTTCATTTCGAGGTTATCTAAGTACTAACATAAATCAAGATTTAATATTGCAAATATTTATCTAAATATATTTTCTTTATGATAATAAATAGTCAAATTTAAACGTGTTATAGATATGATGTCAATCAATTGTATTAATACTTGACATATCACCCTCATGATATTGAAAAATGACCTAGTTTTTTTTTTTTTGACAATGAAACTCTTATAATTTACAACAAAAGTCGAGAATTATCGTTACTATATAATAGTGAAAATATTTCTCTATTCGAGTAAAATTTTTCTATTGCTTTCACTTCAATTGGGCTTTTTTTTTCCCATCGCATAATCTATATTGATTATATGTTTATATAGTAACAGTTCTTACTAATTAGGGATATTGTTTTTAAAATAAATTTCAAGTAATTCTTGTAATATATCATAGTAATCAAGTTTATAAAAAAAAAACAAACAAAGCGGTAAATGAATAATTTAATGCTAAAGATTTTCTAGAAAACAAAAACGAAAATTATTAATGAAAGAGCAAAAAAAAAATATATATATACCGATTTTTTGATTAAATACTGTCTACTTTGTAATAAATATTTTGTATGTCATGCATACTAGCAAGATGCATTTGATCTTTATTAATATGTTGTAAGTGATGATGTGAAAATGTTGAATTGTTCTTCATTATTTTGTTTATACAGAATAAAACTCATATTTAAAATGAAGATTTTAGACCCTTTTTTTGTTTAATGAACCTTTCAATGTTGATTGTTCTGTTTCTTCACTATTGCTCAACATCAAATAATAACAAGCTGCATAAATGTGTATTTGACTATTTCATGAATCTTTTCCAGCTGGAAAAATCTTGCAAAAATTGTATAAAATCGTACGAAATCGTACAAATATCTTGCTGTAAGATTTGATATTTTTCTTATTATATGATACTAATATGTATCTTATATCATTCTTGCAAAGTCTGATGATCATAGTCTTGTAAGATCCATTATGATCTTCTAATAACGTAATTTTAAGTTTGTCTAATGCAAATAGTTTTTATAACAATAGTTTTATATATTTAATAATTTAAACGTTATGCCCGCGAGAATTAAAAATATATCTTCTATATAGTGATCTTTGTCGATTAGAAAGTCACACTATAAATCATTTTATTGATTCAATTAAATTCAAATAAATTCTTTTTAATTTAGATTAATTATTTTTTTTATTGTAGATCATCTTATCGATCATATTCAATAGAGACAATATTTATTTATCTGAGTCTATGTCAATAGGTAAAACCAATGATAAGTTAATAAAAAAAAATATATTTTATTTTTTTAATCAAGTTATAAGATCCTTCCTCTTCTGTCTATCAGGACAGTTAGCTACGAAGAAATAGGACAAAACTTAGTATTGAACGTTGTAAGAAATCGTGAAAAATCATCCATGAATCTTATAAAATCTAACATTAAAATTATACAGTACAATTTTATCAGATCAAACAATCAGACGAAAACTATAGACAAAAAAAAATCGTAGACTCAAAAGTCTTGCACTAAGTCACATTATAAGACTCTTCAAAGATCTTACTCACTTGTAAGATATCACTGTAAGATTATAGGAAACCTTATGCGATGATAACATCTTTCAAGAAGCTTATAGTACGATGTAGTGTAAGATTTTTGAGAGTACAATGTTTTGTACGATTTCATCTAGTGTTATAAGATCTTACATCTGACTTTTTGATCTGGATCATTCTATTTCTAATGATTCAAAACATAATAGCTACAATAGTATGATGACATTAAAATAAATTCAATACCCATGAGACATTCAGTTTTATCGTGATGAATGACATATGAAATGGGCTGTAGAAAGATAATCATTTAACTAGGTACATGACATGACCACAAAATTAAGAGAATCACGAAAAAAGTATTAAAGAAAAAAAAATGAATAATATAATATCATCTAAATAATGAATGTAACACATGTAACATGCTTAAGAAAAGTATAGATCGAATTGAGTACTTAGATTTTTTTAACGGAAAGTAAAATGACAAAGATCGAACGACAATTATCTAGTAAGAGATACATGAATAATAAATTGTATTGTAATAGTTTTTGAATAGTATACTGTATCGGAAACTTTTCTTTTTTTTCATGATAATCATTAAAGTCAGTAACTTTGTTTTGCTATTTTAGATTAAAAAGCAATTTCGTTTTTTTGTCTTCAAAAGTCTATTTTTATTTATTAAAATTTGTTTTGAAAAATTTTACTTCAAATACATGAATTTCAATGTCAGAGTAATACTATATCAATTTCAAGCTAATCTCAACATTGATTCAAATAGATTCATTTTAACATATAATGCAAAATGTAATGGAACAAATGTCAAATCCTATTTCTCTGCAATAAAAAAGATGCTGAAAGAAAAATTTATTTATTCGAAGATAGAGAATTTTTTTTTCTTTCGAACTATATATATAACTTATTTTAATCATAGATTTATAAATGAAATGTCGCAACAGAAAAGAGAAGCATTCTCAAAATGGATCTGCACTTTTTATATAATGTAGAATAACGATATAGAAAATATTAACCTCATACTACTCTTTTCTGTTACGATATTTCATTTATAAACGTATGATAAAAATAAGTTATATATGATTCAAAAAAAGAACAAAATTCTCTATCTTCTGACAAATAAAGTTTTTCTTTCAACATCTTTCTATTGAAGAGAAATAGGATTCGACGACATTTGTTTTATTATATGTTTTTTTTTTCACTTGATCAAATCGATTTGTTCTTTTAATTATATATTCTTGTTGATAAACATTCAAGAAAAATTTCATAAATATTGTTCAATTTTATTTTTTTCACTTTTAAAAACAATTTATTAGGATTTTAAAAAAATTGTCTGTTATCAAATGCTAAATATAAACATACAAAAAGAACTAAATAAATTTTACTCAATAAAATACAAATTTAAAAACTAGTTTAGAAGTTTGTCTCATAATTTCTATTTCTAGTTTGTTGAATCTCTATATTAATGTATATTCGATGTATTTCTTTATATAATTAGAAATAAACTACACTAATATTTTTCTTTCTATTCCTTTTTTTTTTTTGTGTTGAGATATTGATCAAATATATTTTAATAAAAAGTTGGATTGGTATTGAATTAACAGACAATTTCACATAAACTTGTTGCATCCTAAAATCAAAAGATAATTAGTTTTTATTCAAACTATATATATTTATTATACTTTGCATTGACAAACAAGACATTTATGAACATGCCATTTAGTACCATTTTTATGTAATTTTCTTGTATTTTGATCATAACAATGTGTACCAGTTGTTAAACGTTTATCAAAAGTTGCAAACTAATTAAAATAAAAAGAAAAATATAAGAAATTACTTAATAAATTATTCTAACCTTTTTTAAGACATCGTCAACTTGTTGACGAAGTTTTTCTAATTCTAATTGATCATCTTTTGTTATTATTTCATCTTCTATAACTTCTTGTTCTACAATTTCTCTTTTTTGTCGTGTATTAGTACTAGTTCTAGATGGTTCATAATTAGGAAATGGATCATATGAAAGTATAGCTGGAATATTACAAACTAAGAAAAAAAGAATATTTATTTATTTAATTATTTATTTCAAAAAAAAAACAAAACATGTTAAAACAAATTTTCTTACCTGCATTAGATCCAGCCATATTTTGATTACAACATCCACGCCATGGTTCAAGATCAATATCTTCTATATGTGAACATGATACATAATCACGTGGATAGATTGCATTTAAAAATACATTTTTTGGTATACGTTCAATATGATCTCCATTTTCACAAATTACTTTAGCTAATGAAGTTTTTTCTAATGAATTTATTTGTTGACGTGTAAATATTCCAGATTTTTCATACCAATATCTACAATATATAAAATTCATTTATTTTTATAATTTTAATCATTAAAATAAATTCTTACCTATCACCATCTCTAAGTGCTTTAAATTGTTTAAGAATTAAACAACGAAAAGTTGGTCCAACTTTTGCACCAGGTAAATTATCTTCAAGTATTCCACCAACCCATACATCAATATTATCAACATGTTTATAAACATCACGTAATGTATTACGTGTTTGTTCATCACTTATATCATAACGTAAATCATCAAAATCATTAATATCATTTGATGTTAAATTACAAAATTTTCTCCATGCTGTATATGATTGTAAACCATGATCACGACTACGTTGAATATTAGCTGCAGCTAAATCAAGTGATATAGCACGTGTAACATGAAATAAACGTTCAGTTAATTCAACATTAAGAATTTGTTGTGGTAATTTTATTTTAGCAGGTACACCAAACATTCCACGTAATAATGGATCAATACCACCTTGTTCTTTAACACGCCATGGAGAAAAAAATGCATCACGAAGAAGAAGATTTCCTTCAGGAATTGGTTCAAGACTTGAATTTAAACGATAAAATACAGGATTAATTAAACTATGACCAAAACTTTTTAGAAAAAAAAACAAAAAACAAAATTATTTTATTTAAATTTTATTTTTTTTTATAATATACCGAAATGCAGCCGTAGCAAAAACATTTGAAATTGTTGGATTAACATTTCGATTATAACCTTTATATGATCCAAGCATATTCATACCTTCATCACCAATAATATATGGTAACCAATGTTTATATGTTATAATTTGTAATTGTGCTTCAATAATTTTTCGTGTTTCTTGATAAACTTGTTCATCCGTCCAATTTGAATTCAGTAAACTAAGTTTTTTAGCAAAACGATTATGTTGTCGTACCCAAATTGTATGTACTGCAATTAATGCAACTTGTTCATTGACTCGATGATCTTTTTTTTTTTTGTATAATGAAAAAGTAAATAAATACAATAATTTTTTATTTTTATTTTTAAATACCTCCTGCAAGAAAACAACCAATTTGTGATGCTTGTCGATCACGTTGACAATCAACAGGTGTATCAGTACTGAATGGAAGTAATCCTTTTGGATATTGAGATGTACTTTAAGAGAAAGAATAAATAATATATATATATTAAATAATTTATTTTCTTTTTTTTTAAAATACCTATGAACTCTAAGAAGACCTTTTCCTGAACTACGTTCTCGTAAATCCCAAGCATCTTGTACAGTTGAACCATAAACATTTGATGCATCAAAAAATGATGTTAAAGAATTAATTTGTTCACGACGATATGGTAAATGAAGAAATGATGTTTCACCACTTAAACATATAGCAGCTGAACGTACAAATTCAAGACATGAACCACGTTCTTGACGTAAATGATCATCATCAGGAACACGTATAGGATAACATGGGGGTTCATATGAACATGATGATAAACAACGAAGACTATCAGAAAAACGTGTATTACTTGTTGCTTGTACTGTTAATGACATATCATGATCTATTATTTAGATTTATTAAATTAGATCATTAAAAAAATTTTCATAAAATCTTTTTTTTTTTGTCTCTACCTTGAAATTGTCCCCATTGCATAAGCATATGAGAAAAAGCAGGATCAGGTGTAATAGTTTTCGTTGCTATTAATCTTGATGATACTTCACGTGCTGATGGTAATTTATAACCATTATATAATTTACTATCATTCCAACCACGTGGTGTATTAAAACCATTTTCATATTGTGCATGTAACCAACGTGTTAAAGCTGTTAATGAAGCACCCCAAAATGGATTTTTAAAATTATTACATGTTCCATCAGCTGTACGATATGCCAGACATTTTTCATTACAATGAGAATTTAATTGATGTACAACACAACCAGCTACAAGTGCAAGACGTTCTAATTGACGAGCTGTAAGATAATGATCAGGTCGAAAATCTTAAAATAGGAAATTTTACTTTTTTTTTTTTTCTTTTCTTTGAAATTTAATTACCTAATGGTCGTACTTCACTTTTTGAATATTCACTTGCAAATGTTATATTATCAACATAACGATGAACAAGATCAAGTGATCGTTCAAAAATATCTTCAGTTTTAGCTAATGTTAATTGTAATGGTTTAGGAAATTTCATTAATGACATTAAATCTCCTGGTGTTCGTGGTCGACGACGATCTTGTAAATGTCGAATAGTTTCTGCAACAGCACGATTAACTTCTATTGATGCTTGTTGTACAAGACGATCAATAAGTTCATCAGTTATTTGATTATCATCTAAATAATAATAATAATAATAATAATAATAATATATTCATTTTACATATATTTAATTTTAAACTTACTAACAACAGATACCCAAAATGAATGTGTTTCTCTTCCAGCATAATTCGATGCTTGACATGTATAATAACCTGATTGATTAGCAGTAACATGTGGAAGTAAAAGTGATCCATCGTCTTTTAATATATATTGAATACTATAATGAATAGGAAAACTATCTCGAAACCATTCTATTTTTGGTTGTGGATCTCCAGTTGCTGTACATTCAAGTTCAACTGATGCACTATCATATGTTGTTAAATTTGACATACGTCGAGAAAATAATGGTGGTACTATAAAAATAAAAATTAATCAAAAACAAAAAAAAAAGAAAGATAAATATTTACTTGGTTCTTGTACACGAACATCAGTTGCTGCTGATATACGTCGAAGAGAATTTTCTGCATTACAAGTGTAAAGACCTGCATCATCATTTCGTAATTGATTAATACGTAAAATTTGATTATTATCAAGTAAATGCATACGATGTGATGATCGAATATTTATATCTAATTTCATAATAGATTTTAGAATTTCTGTAAATATATATATATATATATGTAAATACATACGAGATTTATGCCATGTAATTGTAGGTTTAGGATTTCCACGAACTCGACAATGTAATTCAATAGATAAATTTTTTAAACCAACACGATATGTATCCGGTAATGGAACAAAACGAGGAGCATCTTTATCAACAAAAAATTTAAATTGAAAACAAAAAATAAATTATCTTTTATCTTACAAAGTACAGTTAAATTTGCTGATGCTGTTTTCATTTCCAATGCATTACGTATTGTACAATCATATATTGCTTCATCATTTTCATCAATATTTAAAATTTGAAGATATTGATTAGTTATCATATGTTTTGAACCAGTACCTAGTGGTGCATCATTCTATAAAAATAAAACAATTTCTATTTATTAATTTTTAATATTATAAATATAATTATATACTTTAAACCATGTAATTGGACTTGATGATGAACTACAATAAAAAATTGCACTACTACCAATAGCAACCTGTGTTGATTGTGGTCGACGAGTGAAAACAAGTGGTTCTACAATCATTACACACCCAGTTGAAAATAGAAATCGAAAAAACCTATTAATTACCTGTTTGTATTTGTTGTTGTTGTTGTTCTTGTGCATCATAATCACTATAGTCATCTGAGGATAACTGAGATTTTACATTGATAATAATACTTAGATAGATAATCAAATAAAAATATTTCGAATACATATTTCTTGTTCTCTTCAAGCAAGAAAAAAACAAACTTAACAAAAAAAATTATTATTATTATTATTATTATAAGCTACAAACTATAGCTTAGATTATAGTATGACAGTTTGTATTAGAGAAATATATGAGTACAAAAACAGCAAATACCCTCATTATTATATCTTTCTATTTCTGTTTCTTGTGGCTTTCTTCTGTTTTATCAGTAATAAATAAGCTAAGGTTGGATAACTGAGCACATATATCCATTTTCTTTTCGGCAGAAAAAAAAAAGGAGAAGACCGATAATTGATGTTGGTATCAAAGATCGAATAGTTGATGGAAATATCTTGCGAGTGGTAATAGATTTAGCTAATAACCATAGGCATATTATCTTTTTCTTACATATAACAGATGATTGATAATGTATACAGTAAGATTGAATATATAGAACTTTCTTGTATGACGAAGCAAAAAAAAGAAACCATGTAAAGAAAGAATAATAAATAATGATGAATATAAAATTTTCAAAATCCAAGCATGGATATCATTGATTCTTGAATTATATTTGATATCATCTTCAATCATTTATTTAAGAATAGACCAAAAAAAAAAATATGTGTATACAATCTCTGAGGAAAAAAAAGTCTATGTATATATCTGACATGAAAAATCTAATTCTTTTTTTTTTTTATTTATGAATGACATAATTGATGCATCACCGTACAAAGAAAATTCATCATTTGTAAATATTCATCAGCTCCATCAAGTAAACATCCATCAACAATCTAATAAAAACAAAAAAAAAAGAAATATTTAAATTTCTATTTATTAATTTTATCTTACAGCTGCTTTTTCAAAAATAATTGCTTTTTGTTCATTACCTAATGCCATTTGTCCCAAAATATAATCATGTAATTGTAATAATAATTGATGAGCTGCATAACCTTCTAATAATACATTCTAATAATAAAACAAAAACGATATTCTCAAAAACAAAACATTAAAGAATTATTATTACTTTAACAGTTGTTGCTAATTTTTCATACGAACCAGAATGACATACTTGATAAAGACTTTCAATAACACTTTCCGAAATAATCTATATATATATATATACATAAAAATGAATCTTTTATCTTATGTTTTTAATATATATTGAATTACATACACCCGTTATTTCATGTACATCAGCTACAGTTATTAACTTATTTGTACGAAAACGAGCAACACTTTGTAAAAATGTTACTGCTTTACGCATATCACCTTCAGTACATTTACCTAATTCAGTTATTGCCTAATATTAAAAAAAAAAGTCGCTTTTTAAATTTAAATATATTAAATTATAAAAACAAAAGCAAAAACCTCTGGTTCATATTGAACATTTTCTTTATTACATATAGCTTGTAAACGTTCTTCAATAATATTATCTTTTAATGGTTTAAAACGAAATTTTGCACAACGACTTGTTATTGGATCGATTATTCTTTAAGAGATATTATTAATTCATCATTAATAAATATATATAAAAGTATATTTACCGACTAATATAATTACAAATTAAACAAAATCTTGTTGTTTTAGATTCACGTTCCATTGTTCGACGAAGAGCTGCCTAAAACAAAATTATTAAATAATAAAAAAAAATTATGTTTTTTTTTTTTTGTTTTTTACTTGAGCTGCTTTCGTCATTGAATCACATTCATCAAGGATAATTAATTTAAATGGTGGACAATACATACCACTAGAATTTTTTTAGATTATTATAAATAAACTTTTTCTGTTTTTTTTTTTTTTTTAGAATTTATTCAATCTTTTCTTACTCCGAACGTGTTGTAATAACCGAAAATTGTGCAAATTTTTTAACTTTTTCACGTATAACATTAATACCACGTTCATCGGATGAATTCAATTCCATAACTCGATCACGAAATAATTGAGGTCTAATATAATGAATTAAAAAACAAAAAGATTTTACTAAATCTCTTTCATTAATCAAAAAAAAAAAATCCAAAACTATTTACCCAAAAAGTTCATGAGCAGCAGCTAGAATAGTACTCGTTTTTCCAGTACCTGGTGGTCCATAAAATAATAAATTAGGAAACTAAATTAAAAAAATTTATTTTTCAACAAGTCTATTCTTTCTTCTATTTAACTTACATCACTACCAGCTAAACATTTTGTTAATACTGCAACAACTTCATCTTGATAAGCAACATCACTAACTTTCTTTGGTCGACTTAATTATAGAAAAATATACATGTTACTTCTAAATCAATAAAAAATAAAATAAATTTTTTACTATTTTTCAACCCATGGAATAAGTCGATTATTTTTCGATTTATCTTCTTTATCTGTTTCTTTATCAGTTGTTGTTGTTGTAGGAGGAGGATTTTTTGTAAACATTGTTGGTACTGTTGTTTTTTTAACAGTTGATTTTTTTGACATTTTTAAAGAACCAAAAAAAAAAAGGAAAAATTTATCTGAAAAATAAAAACCAAATTAAAAGAAAAGTTTTATTTAAAATGAGAAGAGAATAAATAACAAAAAAAAAGCAACAACAACAACAATGATAAAAATAAATAAAATAAAATTTAATTAGATAATTTTTGTAATTCTTGTATTAATCGTTTAATACCAACAATAAAACGAATAACCTGAAAGAGAACAAAAAAAAAATAAAAATATTAAATATAATTTTCTAAAATAAAAATCTTACTTCTGAACCTGCATTTCGAACTAATATAATATGTATATCAAATGCTTGTTGTATATGATCAGAATCAAGTTCATGAAATATATTTGATAATATTTGTTTTGTATTTAATGATAATTTTTCTTGACACCATTCATCATACATAACTTGAAATTTTTTATTAATATCTTCAAGAATTTTTTTCTAGAACAAAATAAAAATAAAAAAAAAATTTTTCTTTAAAATCTTTAATATTTTCTAATTGATATTATACTTCAATATTTGATGAATCTTCTAATTTTTTAAGTTGTTTTTTAAATATTTCATTTATTTCTTCAATAGTTAATAGATTATCTTTTGTTGAAGTATCATTATCTAATAAACTAGATGTAGATATTATTGATGATGGAGAACAAACTGGTGGTGTTGTTAAACTATTCGAAGCTAAAATAAATATATGTAAAGAAAAAAAAAACAAAAGAAATATAATTATCTTAATTCATACAATTATTTGTTGATGTTAGATCTTGATTAGTATATGGAACACGTTTATTAAGTAAAATACGTTTTGTTGACATATTTTCTGATAAATTAAGATTAGCTGGTGGATCATTCCACCCATCAATAGTAGATGATTTATCTGATGAATTCATCTGAAGAAGAAAAAAAATCCAAAATGATTTTAGACTAAGTTATTTATTTTCAAAGACGAATGAAAAAAACTACTAGTTAGAGTTGTTATACAAGGAAACATCAAGGACATAAGGAAAAGGAACAAAATGTTCTCTAATTTAGTTTGAATGAAATGGATTCCCAATATATTTAATTAATCAACGTTGTCTTTGTAAAATAATTTGGCGACTAGAATAAAAAACAACAAGAAATATCGAACTAATAAATCAACAGAAATGAATATTAAACTTACGTTTAAGACGATCTTTAGCTTTTAAATGATTGTATACAGTTGAAGTTGCTTGATAAAGAACATAAACAACTATAATACCTTGAGCTGCAAGAAGAAGTCTATCTCGTGGCATCATAATCCAAGTTGGTATAGTTTTATTACGCTAAATAAATAATTATAATCATTAACAAAAAATAATATCAATATATCTATTTACTAAAGCATCGATTTGTAAGTGTTGAATACGACGAACACGATTTTCAACATATCGATCAAGTACACCTTTAGTACGTTTTACTTGTGTAACTGTATCAATATCACCTTTATATGGTGTACGCCAAAGATTAACACCTTCCCATGGAGCAGCATGCGAATCATGACCATGACTATGACTATAATCATAACCACCAGAAACAGCTCCATGTGATGATGTTGTAGCTACAGTATGAGCATTAGCAATTGAACCTGGACCAGTACCAACTTTAGTTGAAAGAAAACGAAAGAGTGACATTTTTTATGGTCAACTATGTTTTCTTATATTTTGAATCAAAAATCACACGATTGATGATGATTTTTTGATTGTATGATAAGTTAAATATTTTTTTTTTTCGTGCTTCGGTATTTCCAAAATTCTACAATAGAAAAAAGTTCATATCAATTTTTATTATTTGAAGTCGTATAAATAAAAATGTAACTTATGGAATAAAACACTGGAGAAAAAACGAAAATTTCTCAAGATTTGGACGCAGGAGTGATCCCTTGATCTCCCCCGCTTGAGGCACTACTAGGTATATTTATAAAATCTTTAGATTCACAAAGATCTTAGCATTTCTCTTTAATCTTCTATCCAATCAGTTTTTTTTTCTATTCCTATAAAAGAACAGAACAAATATTACTAGGGAAAAAAAACAACGTGTACACTTCTAGTACCACAAAAAAAAAAATCTCATATCTACATAATTAGACTACGGTCGACATATATAAATATATATATATTTATATTTGTACAGAATCAAAAAAAAAGAGTATTCGATGGTACGACCATTTTTACTATTCATATATTTGGTAAAAATTTTTATTCTAATACAAAAACTCAATGGAACAACTGAATATGATACATATTTTCATGTATTTTCAAAACAAAATATCGATAAACCAATATCAATCATATGGACAGATACAACAAAATGGTTAAAAGTAAAATCATTTCAAAATTGTTCAATTAAATTAATTGCACATGGTTATGCTGAACGATGGAATATGGATTGGCGATGGGATTGGGTTAATGATATGAAAAATGAATTTTTAAATAATAAAACAAAAGAAAATATTTGTGTTATTGCTATTGATTGGGAAAAAGGTGCACGAGAAATTAATTTTATTACAGCTGTTGCTAATGCTGATATAGCTGGAGAACATTTAGCAGAATTTATACAAAATAATTATATTAATCCTAAACGTTTACATTGTATTGGATTTAGGTAACAGAAAAAAAAAGAAATCTATCTTCTTCATTTAGATAATTTTTTTTTTCTTTTAGTCTTGGTGCTCATCTTTGTGGATTTGCTTCTAATAATTATTATATAATAACAAAGAAACAAACTAGATTTGCACATATAACTGGTCTTGACCCATCTGGTCCACTTTTACGTAAAGCATCAATTGATAAACGTTTATCTCTTGATGATGCTGATTTTGTTGATTGTATTCATACATCATCAACATTTGGTTTACAAGAAAAAAGTGGACATATGGATTTTTTTCCTGATGGTGGAAAAAGTAATGCAAAAGGATGTGAAAAATTTATTGTAATTAAAGATAAAGATGAAATAGAAACAAATATTCGTATTAAACGTTTTCTTTTTAATCGAAAACAAAAACAAGAAAGTTCTACTAATGATAATGATCTACCAGAAAAAAATTTTATTGGAATAATACGTGATCGAATTGGAAGAATACGTTCATTAAAAAAAGTTTTTCTTAATATTCATGCTTATATTGGTTGTAATCATCTTCGATCACCACATTATTATATATCATCAATAAATCAATGTAATTTTCGAGCAAAACTCTGTTCAACATGGTTAAATTATCTATCAAAAACCTGTAATGATCCAATTGATAATGATTTAACTTATCCACGTATGGGTTTTCATGCTGATAAAAGTGATTCTATTTATCGACGTGGGAATAATAGTTACTATTTAAAAACAACGCCAAAAAAACCCTATTGTTCACCCTCATCATCATCCTCTACTACTGAAAAAAATCCTAAAACACGAACATCTGTAAGATCGAAATTAAAAAAAAAACTAACAAAACTTCGTCCTTAAAAAAATTGACTAAGACAAAATAAAACAAAACAAAATAAATGCATGTATGTGTGTGTGTAGGTTTTTTTTTTTCTTCTTAAATATTACACAAAATAAAACTGTTCGTTATCAATACATATTAATCAAAAAGAAGAAAAAAAAAAAACGACAACACACGTACAAATAAGGAAGAAGAAGAAAAAAAATAAATAAAAATCCACAATAATAATGCATTGAACGAAAAAAAACAAAACTGGATGTAATAATTCATTGATTATATTAGTCAAAGAAACGAAAAAAAACAAAATTTATCTTTAAATTGCACATTTACAATATGAATGTGATGAGCAAAAAGATATTGTTCACAAGAAAGAAAATATATATATATATGTACTGAAGACGAACAACAGTAAAAAAAAAAAAAACATTAAATTAAATGGAATTTTATATATATATATATTTATTTATAGAATAAATCATTTCATTTATTGTTTAAGACCACCAAACATTTCTTGACTAGCATAAGTCATATAAAGGAAACCATCATCATCCTTGATAATAGAACAAAAAAAAAAAAAATGTGATAATTAAATTATCTTTTTTTTTTTTCTATTCTTACTTTATCATCACGATAGATTTCAGCCATAGAAGTCGACATTGAAGCAATACTTTTATTATTAACTAATAAATAAAATGCTTGATTGGCATTTAACTGCATACGATTTCTAATAGAAATTAATGATTAAAATAAAAGTTTTTTTGTTGTTTTACCTTAACTTACCGAATAATTGTCACAAATTGTGACATTGTCAATTCTTGTGGTACCAAAAATTTTGTTTTATCTAAAATAAATATAATAAACTCATAAAAAAAAAAAAAAATCAATTTATTTTACCAAGAATGGGTAAATCTTTTTCTTTATGATATCGTTCAACAATAACTGGAATTTCTAAAATAATGAAAATTTATTATTATTTAATAAATATAAAAAAAAACAAAGATCCTTACTATTTGGAAATTTACTTCGAATACCAGCTACTTCTTCCTTACGTGTTGCTTTAGAAATACAATAAAAAAAATTTTTTTTTTGTTTTTTATAATAGAAATAAATTACTTACCAAAACTTTTTCGTTGTTTAAAAGTACGATTATCAACATTTGCAGATGGCATTTTTTTTTTAAATTTATTTCGTTTACTTATTAATCAAAGACAGAAAAAAAAATTTTCTTAATAAGGGTGTGGTTGTTCTTATTTCAATCTTAAACAACGAAAAAGAAAAAACACGAAGAAAAAATTGCACTGATGATATAGCAAACAAAGTTAATGTATATCTCTCTTATAGAGATAATAATATGACGCTTTTTAAATAAATCTTAATAGAAAATTTACACAACACCAAAAACAAAATAAAACAAAACAAAAAAAAAAAAGAAGGAAATCTGACTCGTTCGATGTGACGTCATCATCTTACATATGTGAATAAGCAATCTGTGTATGCCCTTTCAAAAATAAAAACATCAACGATTCAAATATATTTTCTTTTTTAATCATGCTATCCTAGGAAAATGTAATCGAAATTAATGGAAAAAAAAGAAAAAAAGCAAAAGAAAAAAAAAAACAAAAAGAAAGAACGAATGTAGAAACTATCAGTTTTATTGTTGCATTACTTGCGAATAAAGAGGAAGACGAAGTAGGCGGACTTTTCTTTCTTTCCGTTGTGTTCGTCATTCTATTTCTTATGATACTCTTAACTTAAGTTAGCTATTACTGTCGAGCTGCTGCATATGCCTACACACATTCATACTTCGATGCATATAAAACATTTTCATGTTTTCTCTATTTTTTTTTTCTCTTCTTTTTAGATAGAATTAAAGTTCTATACAACTCTCTCTCTCTCTCGTTCTGTTTCATTTTTATGATTAATTATTAGTCAATACTAGCTGTACTGAAGTTGGTTTTTGTTTTTTAATTGCCATCGTACTTTACCTAACATTCAATATTATAAAAAAAAAAAAAGAAAAGAAAACATAAAATAATTACAACTAAAGAATCTAGATCGTCGTTTCTTTAGGTCTCATTACTGTTTCAGGTAAAAGAAGGAATGTAGAGATTTTGATGCATCTCTATGATGTGTCTTTAGAAATATTTCTATAGAAGCAAAAATAATGACCTATTTGCTTTCAAAAAAAGTCGGTTTTTTTTTTTTGCTTAATATTCTATCAAGGAAGGACACAAACAACAACAAGAAAAAAAAAATAAGTAGACAGATGAGTATCATTTCATAATTAAAAAAGAAAAAAACAATAAAACCTACTGTACAATTGAACGGAAATAAAGTTTTTGTTTTTTTTTTAGTATGTTTTCTTTACCCACATATTTGTTTTCATACATACACATAATAAATAAAAGTTATACTGTACATAAAATATTATAATTATTGAATATTTTTGAAAACAAAAAAAACCAAACAAAATTTTACTCGTTTCTTTTTTTTTTTTTTGTTTCTTATCTTTTTATGAATAATTTGTTTCATATGTTGATGACGATGATGGTCGAATATTTGATGAATTAGATGATTGTCTCTGTTGATTATTTGATGAATAACGTGATGATAACATCATTTTAATTTGATTTTGATGTTGAGATAATAATGGATATAAACATTCATCTAATGTATCAATTTCACAATAAAGTTTAATTGTACGTAAAAGATAATCAATTTGTATAAGTAAATAATTTGCTGCTATATAAACATCATCACGTTTACTATCACGAAAATAAGCTTTTAATGTATTACTAAAATTTTTACTATATTTAATAAATTCTTTTTTTTCATTTTCTAATGCTTGTCGTCCATCATTTGTTTTAATATATTGTAAAATATTTGTAACACTATCAAGTGTTTTTTTAATAGCACTTGCAATTTCTTTAATTGTTTCAAGAAATTCACGTTTTTCATTAATATCATCTGGTATACGACTTAATATACGTTTAAGATTTTTTGAACGTATATTTAATTCATAAAAAATTTGTTCATTATGTAATGATGATATAAAATAAGGTGTTTTATCACAATATTTTTCAAGTTTAAGTGTTAATTCATTCATATTTGTTGTTTTTGATAATGATGATATATCTCGATTTAAAAATGATTGAATAAAATTACAAGAAAAACCTGGATAAATTTCTTCTAATTTAAATAATGTTGTACGTAAATCAGATTGTATATCTTTATAACCTGATTTATTCATTTGTTCAATTACAGGATAGAAAATATTTGGTAAAACAAGCGCATTTGTTGGTAATGATGTTCCATCATCAATTGAGGCCATCATAAGATTATCTGAAAATAGAAAATTCATTGAAATGATATTTTATGATGTCTATTCAAGATCAAATTTGATTCTCAATTGATTTTTTTTTTTACTTCATTTTTATGATAATTTGAACTGTAATATTTAGTAGCAGAACTACGGGATAGTTCAAACTTCTGCAGAAATAAGATATTTCTATATTATAGGAGAGAAGATTATACATAGTTTTCGATTTCAAACGAGAGTTGAACGCTACCTTCTACAAGTTTTTTCTTGCTCACTCACTAGCATTATTTATGAGTAGATTTTTACTTCGATAGTAGTCGTTCTTCATCTTCAATAAGTCGTACTAATAAAACTTTTATTTGCATAAAACTATGATTATCTTTAAAACAAAGAAACCAACAACAACAACAACAACAACGCAGAACGAATTTCGTACATGGTCACATAACGCCATAAATCAATTTTAATAAACATCAAAAAACCTCTTTACAAAGAAATATTTCATTGGTTAATATATTTTACCAATATAAAATTGTTAGATGACGTGAAATTGTATGTATTCTATTGCTTCATATTATTCTTTTTTTTTTGTCCTCTTATTAAAATCATAAATGTCGAATATAAATTTATTTCCTGAATTCGATAATGAACAAAGACATGAACAAGAATATAATAATGGTCATAATGAACATAAAGAAGAAGAATTAATTGTATTTGGTTATTCATGTAAATTATTTCGTGATGATTTTTCTGCTAAAGCTATTGATCGTGGTCAAAGTCTTATACCATGGAATGGCGATGAAAACGTTATGATTGACAGGTGTGCAAAAAAAAAGATAATTTTTCTGTTTCTTTTGTTTTTTATTTTTACTTCGATAAAATCATACAATGAAAAAAAAAAAACACAAAATCTTATAAGAGACATCTACTGATTTGTCTATTTTATTTTTTTTCTATGAGATATATAGAAAACACGTAAGTGTTGGTAGTATTTATTTACGATTTTAGGAAAAAAAAATAATGATAAATGGCACTAATCAGGTGAGATGCTGCTATTTCATCTACAATTTGGTAAGTTTATCTTATCTCTTTTATATATTTATATTTATATATATATGTATAAGTAAAAAAAAAAAAATTTTTTTTTTTTTAATTTTCTAAATGTTATTCATATAATATTTTTTTTCAATTCTCTTTTTTATTGCAGTATAGCACAGACAATTCATCTCGACAGTCTTTCTTAGAAAATAAATAAGAGCATGATTTAATAAATAAAAAAAGAAAAATAAAGAGAGAGAAGAAAGAAAGATCAAAATTGATTTTATATTATTTTTATTATTTTAAGTTTCTAATTTTTTTAAAATTTTTTTAGGTATGATTGTCGTGGACATTTATCTGATTTAACATTATGGGATAGTGATTTAATACGAAATAAACAATTAAATAATGATGAAAATTTTTTAAATGAAGAAGATAAACATATTGAAGAAGAATGTAATCAAGAAAGATATTTAGAATTATATAGAGATATGGAAAAAGAAGCTTTACAACAAGGTAAAAATTTAATAAATTATTTTCAATTTTTTATGATTATATTTGTTGTTTAGAAGAAATATTAAAACGAATTAATACAGATCAAAATACTTATAATCAAGTTGGATATACATATGATGGTTTAAATAATTCAAAAGAATCTTCAAGTAAAATAACAGAAGGTAAATTAAAGTTCTTTACTTTAGAATAAAATTAAATATCTACAATAGATCTAAGTACAAGACTGAAAATGATGTAGTTTATCTTTTAATTTTCTTCATATTGAGTCAGGAGAAATTAAAAGACAATCGAGCAGTGTATAAATTTAGTAGGAATAAAATCTTAATCAAAATACCTGGCAGCTCTAGCAGATTCGATAGATGATGAATTATTGTTTGAAAAAGCTAATTTGAATGCATTCAGACAGATTTGGATTGAAAAACAATTCTTAATTAAATGTTTGAGAATATCAAAAAGATTTATTTCTCACCATTCAATAATCGAAAAAATTGTTGGTTGGATGGCTTCTATCCCTTCTTGTTCTTCTGTGCCTGTTTATGAGATTGACGAAATCCAACTCTTTGAGGATTTCCCAGAATCTTTTGTTTCTATGTATTAATTTTTTTCTTATAGACCTCGCTATTGTGTTATATTGTCTGTTGTTATGATTTTCTTTCTTTTTTTGTTATCTCTCTTTTTCCTCCTTTGTTTACTCATATTTACTGATAGGATCTTACGATCACAACTTTTTAGCATAAAAAAAAAAAATCTTAATCAATATTCAATTTGAAAAATATCAGATTCATCCACATATTTTCGAAAGAAAAGTAAAATTAAGTTTAGTAAAGATAATATCTTTTCCTTGAGAATATTATATTTCAATAGCGAAAGATGTTTTCTTCGAACAATAAAATAATCAACATGTATTCGTTGATCAGTTGATTATTAATCATATTCTAAAGAAGATATTCCTCAGTATCGAAGTGTTATAAAAAAGAATAATTAAAAGTACTGTCAAGACAGAGAGAACTTATGTCATTCAGTCAAAACTGACCTTTCTTATCGATCATGATTAATGTTTATTGGATATAAAACTAACATATTGATATATGATTCTTTGGGATCGAAACGAACAAAAAAAAAAATGATTCTATCGATAATATTTTTTTACTCATACTTTGATTCATATCTCATCCTATTTCAATCTACTATACATTTCACAAATGAAAGAGTATCTCTTATAGTTTTGTTTAATTTTGAAGTGTACAAAAGGCCACATACGCTATTAAATTAAGTTTTTGATATAACGATAAAAATAAATGAAAAAGTTTTTTTTTTTTTTGTGACCATGAACAATGTTTAATTCTATTAATCTAAAAGATTTAATAAATTTCTTTTTCTTTTAGAAACTTCACAATCACTTGATGATGATGAATATGAACCATTTTATCCATCAGAAAAATTACAAATACCTTATGGCATGGATATTGTATGTTCATATGATAACAAAAAAAAAGCGAATTTTATTTATTTATTTATTTATTTTTTTTTTTCGTAGCCTGAATCTATTAAATTAAATGCTGTGATTGAAAAAACTGCTAATTTTGTATCTATTTCTGGTGTTCAAATGGAAATTTTTCTTAAAACTAAACAAGCAAATAATCCTCAATTTGATTTTCTTAAATATGATCATTATCTTAATCCATATTATCGTCATTTAATTATAATGATTAAATCTGGTAAATATCGACCAAATTTTCATAATAATTCAACAAATAATAATCAAAAGAAAAAATCAAATAAAAATGGTATGTCAAAAATAAATAAAAAAAAACAAGTTCAAAATTTTAATCTATATTCTATTTAAATTTTAGGTATTGATCAAAATAGTAGTCATGATGAAGATGAAACAGGTGATTCATATTTACATCCACTTTTAAGAGGTAGTACAAATAATGATAATATAAATTTAACAAAAAAATCTGAAGAAATCTTACGTAAACCAGCAATACAAATGAATATTCATAATACAGCATATGGACAATTAATTAAAAAATATGAACATCTTAGACAATGTGAAAAGTATATTTATAAAATTAATATAAACAAATTATTAATAAATAATTTTCTTTTTTTTTGTAATTTAGAGTAGTAAAAGAAAATGAAGAAGAAAAAATGTCACCAAAACCAGAAGAAATTAAAAATGAAGAATTTTCGTAAGTATTATGAAATATTTCATATTAATCTTTTTCTTCTATGATACTCATATTTGAGAAAAAAATACTGCGTATAAGTTTTAAATCGAACTTTTGCGACTTCCCATATTACATATTTTAGCAACCGAAACGATAGACTTCTTTCCCAGAGTTTCATAGCAATGAAAAGAGACGTTGAATGGCATTAACGACAAGACTTCGACCATTCTAGAACATTTCAGAACTTTCATTGAAAATTGAAGGTTCTAAATAGTGCAGTTTCTGATTTTTCCGAGCATAAAAATTCATATTCAAGATGTCAAGGATGATGGATGAGTGATGCATTGATTTGCAATAACATAAAAAGCGTAAACCAATTAAGTTAGATCTTTGGAAAATAAACAATATCAATGCTTGTGAGTTTATTGAGATATATAATAAGACGTTGAGACTTGTTATAGATATAATTGATATTTACAACAGATTTATTTGCTAGTTATATCAATAGTTAGGAATTATAATTATGTTAAATTAAGCAAAATAGAATACGAAAATGAACACTACCAATGCGAACAAAATATATAACCGATCGTTTATCGTTGAGAAAACAATTATAGTCTGCTAGAAATTTTTCATTTAATATAATTTGTATTAGTATAATGAAGCTAAAGAACACATGTGAGTTCTACATTTCAATCCGAAAAGGACTACACTAACAAGTTTTCTGTTTTTTTTTTCTCTTCTAACTTTTAGACCTAAATCCGAATCATCTCCATCAACAAATGTAATTCCGCCACCTCCGGATGTTAAACCAATAATAGATAAATTAGCTGAATATGTTGCACGTAATGGTCCAGCATTTGAACAATCAATTCGAACAAAAAATGATTCACGTTTTGGATTTCTTGAACGTGATCATATACATCATAATTATTATCAACTTAAAGTACAATTATGTGGGGTAATAAAAAAATTAAATAAAAATAATTTTATTTTTATTTAATTATCTTTTTTTTTGTAGCAAGAAAGTCTTCGTAATAAAATCGAAGAAAATCAACATTCTATTGATAATGATGAACAACAATCTATACATGGAAAAGGTATTAAATTAGTATTAAAAACAAATACAGAAGAATCATTAACACCTACATGTCGAGAATTTAATTCTGATGATGATTCCAATTCAATGCAACAAAGTAAATTATTATTTTAATAACTATGAGAAAGTTTACTTAGTCGATATATGTATTGTTTTCTGATCTCATGAGTATTACGAATGTTTATTTGATGGTTCGCCTTGAGACATTGTTTGATCGAGTGGAAAAATTAATTTCTTTTTTGATGAAGTGTTATCGATTATTGCGTCGGAAAGATCATACTTGTCTAGTCTAAAGAAGTTTTATAATATACTTTGTAATAATATGTCAGTTTCGTATAAAGGTCATTCTGGGGAAAAAAACTCCAGGTCTTCTATATTATGTCTCATTTTGTTTTCATAGGTTTTAAAAGTTGGAATATAATGTTGACCTTAGTCTTTTCAATTTTTTAGGTCAAAACTCTGGAAAAACTAGACATATTTTAATATAAATATACTAATTAAAAAATCAATTTTATAACAGGTGATATAAAAGTTTCTGAAAAAAAATGTCACTTTATTTTTCATTAACTAAAATATTTTTCGGAAAAACATTACTCATTAATTAAGAAGAATCTTCTATTCCTTAAATGATAAGATATTCGATTGTTTGAAGCAAAAAAAAAAAAACAAAAATAATCTTTTATAATATATTATTTTAATATTTAGATGAACAAGATGATAATAATAATGAATTTATTGGTCCTCGTCCTCCATCACCTGAATTTCTTGAAAAAATGCGTAAACAAGAACAACGTCGTGATCGTATTAGTGGTTTTGTACGTGATAAATTAGCACGTGATAAACAAGAAGAACGTAAACGTAAAGCTGAATTACTTGTACAACAATTAAAAACTAAAAATAATGATTCAACATCAATTATAAATACAAATGAATCAATAAATAATTCAAATATAAATCCAATACTTGTTGAAAAATTACTTAATGTTAAAAATGAACGTCCATCATCATCATCATCAATAATAACATCTCCACATCAACATCAACATCAACATCATCATCGTTCAAAACATTCCAGATCATCAACAAAATCTCATAGTCATTCAAAATATTATCGTCGATCACGATCAAAAAGTAATCATCGACGACATAGACGATCATCTCATAAGTAAATTGTTTGATTGTTTTGTTTGATTTTTCTTTCATATTTTTTCATTTTTAGACGATCACGTACACGTTCAAAATCTCGAAATCATCATCATACAAAAAGATCAAAAAAGTAAGTAAGAATTTTATTTTCAAAATAAAATCTTTTGTCAATAATTAAAAATTCTATATATATAACTAAGTATATCCGTATTAATAATAATAATAAAAAATCAATTAGTAATACACTAGACTCTAGATTGATCGTATAAGATTGGCATACAAATTCATCTTATCATCTTTTCTTACAGACAAGTATCGTAAGTTGGATCTTGTTAGCTTTGTTTTTTTTATCTTTTTTTTCTTTGTTTTAATAAAATAGAATTTTATTTATTTCTATTTTTTTTGTCTGTTATTTTAAGTTCAAAATCATCAAAATATAATCGAAATCATCGTCGTCATCATCATCGACGTCATCGACATTCATCAGCATCATCAAATTCTTCATCAAATTCCTCATCAATATCAAGATCACCATCATCATCATCATCAACTTCTTCATCTTCATCTTCATCATCTTCAACTTCGCATGACAAAAGAAAAAAGAAAAAGATAACACATAATGATGATGAACAACGACAAAATCAACGTAAACATAATCCACAATCATCAAAGTAAGTTTGTACTAGATAAACTCTATTATATAATCGATTATCTTTTAAGTGTTAAATAATTGAAAAAAAAAAAAAAAATTTTTTTCTTTTATGTATTACACATTATGAACTATATATATTCTTTTTACCTTCTAAGGAAAATCCGATTAGAAATTAAAAAAATTTCTATCTAAATATATTACTTTTAGTTATAGAAAAATAGCACATACTCATAGGTTTGTTTTCTTTTTGTCTTTAGATGGGATCAACGAGAACCACCAAAAATGAAAACTGAGGTATCATCTATTGAAACAGCTACAGCTGCTCCATCGTTATCAATCAACCCTGAAACAACGTTATCGAACAGTACTTCTTGATGTATATGAGAAAAAAAAGAGAGACCTATTGCACAATGTAAATTTAATTTTTTTTCTTCTTCTTTTTTCTGTCTATTTTTGTTGTTGTTATTACTTCTTGTTCTTTATGTGTGACTAGTCTGATTTAGCGGCTATGGATATTTGCTAAAAAAAAAAAAAAAGAAAAATAAAATTTCAGACAAGAAAATATTTTTGATTTTTCTTTTTTTTTTGTTTTATTTATATTAAATCTATTTTATCTTTCCGATAAAATAAAGATGAAAAGTTTATTTCAAAGATCATTGTTTTCTTCCATTAAACAAGTAAGAAAAAATATTTAATATAAAACAAAAAAAAAAAAAAAAAAAAAAAAAAAAAAAAAATTATTATTTATTTATTATTCTCTAAGGCTCAACAAATAAATAGTAGACGATTAATATGGACTGGTCGAGAATCATTACGTGATAGTGATCCAGAAATGTATGGATTAATACAAAAAGAAAAAAATCGTCAAAAAAGTGGTTTAGAAATGATTGCATCAGAAAATTTTACATCACGTGGTGTTCTTGAAACACTTGGATCATGTTTAACAAATAAATATTCTGAAGTAATTAAATAATTTAATAAACTATTTTTCCTTTTTTTTTTGCTCATAGAAATAAAAATGAATTATTTCTTTCTTTTATTTTGTAGGGTTATCCAGGTGTTCGATATTATGGTGGAAATGAATATATCGATGAAATTGAAACTTTAACACAAAAACGAGCACTTGAAGCATTTAATTTAAATTCAACTGAATGGGGTGTTAATGTACAAGCATTATCAGGTGTACCAGCTAATTTTGCTGTTTATACTGCATTACTTGAACCTCATGGACGTTTAATGGGTTTAGATTTACCTGATGGTGGTCATTTAAGTCATGGTTATGCAACGTTAACAAAAAAAATCTCATCTACAAGCGCTTTTTTCGAAACAATGCCATATAAAGTTGATCCAAAAACTGGTCTCATTGATTATGAATCTCTTTCAAAAACATCAAAATTATTTCGCCCAAAAATCATTGTTGCTGGTATATCATGTTATTCACGTAATCTCGAATATGATAAATTTCGTACAATATGTGATGATATTGGTGCTATACTTGTTGCTGATATGGCACATGTTAGTGGTCTTGTTGCAGCTAATGTTGTTGCTAATCCATTTGAATATTCTGATATAGTTACAACAACAACACATAAAAGTTTACGTGGACCACGTGCTGCTTTAATATTTTTTCGACGTGGAATTAAAAAAAAACAAGAAACAACAACAACAACAACAACAAAAAAAAAAGGAACAAAAGATGAACATCAAATTGAAACATATGATTATGAAAGAAAAATTAATGAAGCTATTTTTCCTGGTTTACAAGGTGGACCACATAATAATACAATTGGTGCTATTGGTGTTGCTTTAAAAGAAGTTGCTTCAAATGATTTTAAATTATATGCAAAACAAGTTATTAGTAATGCTAAACAACTTGTTAAAACACTTCAAGAAAAAGGATATACATTTGTTGCAGGTATAATATTGTTATAATCAAATAAACAAAAACTTTTTGTATTTTATTGCATTCGTTTAGGTGGTACTGATACACATTTAGCTTTACTTGATTTACGTCCTCTTGGACTTGATGGTGCAAAAGTCGAAAAAGTACTTGAAGCTGTTTCAATTGCTGCTAATAAAAATACATGTCCAGGTGATAAGTCTGCTCTTAAACCTTCTGGTATTCGATTAGGTAAAAATAAGAAAAAAATATAAAAAAAAAAAAAATATTAATTTTTATTCTTCTAGGTACACCTGCATTAACAACACGTGGTTTTCGTGAAAATGATATAATTGAAGTTGCTAATTATATTGATCAAGCAATAAAATTAGCTGTTGAAATTAATAAACCTAATGATACTAAAAAAACTTCTCAAATAACATTAAAAGATTTTAAAGAAAATATGAAACGAAATGAAAATATTCAAAATTTAAAACATTCCATTGAATTATTTGCTGAAAAATATCCAATGCCTGGTTATGATGAAATTTAAAAAAATCGAAAAACTACTCATCAAAAATGTGATTATTTTAAGTATTTTATATTCGATAATTATGATTCATTTTCCTTTTCTGGTGATCTATTTATTTTTCCTTGGATTGTTTTCTTTTTTGATTATTAATATACATTAGACCATAGTCTAGTTCTTCATTGTCACATATATTTGAATATATAATTCTTTTATTGTCAAGGGATATACACATAAGTATTTTGAGCTATTTTAGTTCTTGTTTTTTTCCGTTTTGTCATAATACTTCAATCATCTTAGATAATAACTATATGTGTGTCGATCTAGTTATATTTCTTTTTTTTTTTAGAAGCTTGACTATAAAAATGCTTATTTTATAGGTTTTTATCTAAAAACATATACTTACCCCGAACTCTATTGAAAAGTTAGAATTCAGTGTATCTACTTTTTATTTATTATAAAGAAATCCGTTGTAATCCAAATAACGGAAGACAGTGAAAATCATGGATGTTTCAGGGCGTCTTGAGAGAAACTATCTAATCATAGAAAAAAATGATATTCATTTATATGAGTTTTTATTTTGAATCTTAATATTAAACTTTGAGAGAAGACAAATAAAAAATTCATTATTCCCGACACAAAGACCTTATTTGCAGATAATTAATTTTTTCTTTTGATCATCATCAATATATTTCATCGAAACGAAAAAAACAAAAAATCAGTTTTCATAAAATAAATTACTTTCATTTGTAAATCTTTCTTTGAAACAGACAAAACGAAAAAACACAAAATCAATTGTTCACTACAAAGCAATACGTCCTGATTGAGTGTTTTTCATATTAAATCTAGATGGATTTATTGTACGCATTGCTAACATTAAACGTGGACTTTCTCGACTTTTAGAATTTGAACATGTATTACATTCATATTTTGGTGTTAATGTTCTTTGACCAGATATTTTTCGTGGATCATCATTTGTCATTATTTGTCGTTGTGTCATTATTCGACTATGTATATGATCATGAAAAAAACAACAATGACGACACATTATTTGTAATGTATAACGAAATTTACAATTGGTTAATGAATAAATAAAAAAATTAATTGAATGATTTACAATTAATAATAGATTTGATATAAAAAGAAGACAAACAAAAACTAATGCACGTATATATCCACATGGACAACTATCAATAAGACCAAATATAGTTAATATAAGGACGGGTAATTGACATATTATATTAAAAAAACATATAATTAAAACCATTTTTGTTATTCGAGATTTTGATTTTAAACGTTGAGCAACTATTTCTGAATGTAAAATAAATTCTTGTGATTTTTTTGTACCAATTTCACGATTAACAATACGTATAAGTAATATCCAAAGAACAACACATATTACCCATGGACATAATAAAGATAATATAGCTGATATAACTTTTACAATAGTTAGAGCATCTGAATTTAAACGATAATAATAATATGGTACTATAGATAAAATACTAAATAAAAATATAATTGTTAAAGCTTTTCTTTCATTACGACTTGAACAATAAACTTGTGAATAAAGTGGTTTCACCACAATCATTAAACGAAAACAAGTTATTGTCACAACTAAAAAACAAATATTCATAAAAAAAAAAAACGACAGAGTTTTTTTTATTTTACCGATCCAATTTGAACAAAATGTAGCACCTGTTGCTACAGGCAAAACAAATGAATTGACAAAATTGATTAATTTGTAATTAGTTTTTGGACCATAATAATATATGATATGTGGAATACAAGCAAGAGTTGGAGCAACAATATCACTTATAGCAAGACCTTGCAATAAATTATTTACTCCTCCTTTTCGCATTAAACGACGATTTAAAACTATTAATGTTAGAATATTTCCTATTAATGTAATAGAATTCTTATAAAAATTATCATATTATATTTATCTAATAGACACTTACCAATATTTCCAAAAAACATTAGAATCAATTGTATAATACCCCAAAGAAGTTTACCAGATAGACCTTCTAATACATCACTCATTATTTGATCTAAAAACATATATATTTTTTTTTTGTAAATTTATTCTTTAATGAAATTTTTCTTTTATTTACCTGCACATATTGTTGTATTATCCGATGTAGCTGTTGTTGGATCTGTTGTTGTTGAAATCAATTCTAATGGTATTGATGATGTTAATTCAGTATCGTTATACATTATTGTTTGTTACTATAGAAAATAAAAAATTTTTCTTATGAACTATTCAAAAAAAAAAAAAAAAAAAAAAAAGAAGTACAAGTAATGATATTTCATATCTTCTATATTTATAATAAAAATCATGAGACTTATACAATGTGTTGTAAAAAAAAACCTATAAATTTATCTTACAAGAAAATGATTGTTTATAAAATATTCTCCTACTTATTTTGAATATTGTTTTATTGAAAAAAAATAAAGAATATGACATTTTAAAACTTCCTCTCAGTCATTATTCTAACGATGTTATGCATGAATAAAAGAAAAAAAGGAATATTTTTTTGTTTCTCTAAGCTTCTCTTATCGTTGTCTAAGCTGATTTCGTCTTAGAACAATAATCTTTTAGTCCAGAAACTCATTAAAATAAAAAAAACAAAAGTTCTTGTTTTAAAATATAATTTTTTTTTTTAATTTCAAAATGAATGAAAATTCTAGAATTTCTTTTTTTTTTGGCCAATCTAAAAAGATTTCACATAATAGAAGACTAATTCTTACCTAGGATCTTTTAGAGATTTTTCTCAAACAATCATACTAATGACAATCAAAGAATGAAGCTAACTAAAAAGGATGAACAACAGAACAAAGAGGAAAAAGAAGAGGAAAATGTTCCATCATGACATTTCCTTCTTCTTTCAACAAAATTTATATTGTGTAGCTCTTTGTAACATAATAATAGACTGACTTTTTTTTTTTTATTTATTACAATAATAGAGCACTTAAAATCATCCTAGAAAAAATATCTACATATCTAATTTAGATTCCCAAAGATACCGTAACATGCACTTTCTTGATCACACTATAGTTAGTAATGTAACAAATTAATATTAAAAATTGCAAGTAAGATCACCCTTAGGATGAATACGAACCAACTTTTTTGATACATTCTGTCAAATTCAGATAAAATAATTCATACAAAGATGCCATAAAAAAAAATTAGATTCATATATGACATATGTTTAAGTAGTAACAATAATATAAAAAATAGAAAGCATAAAAAAACTAGGTTTTTTTTTTTCTTTTTAAATAATAATAATATTTAATTATGTAAAAAAAGACATATATGAGAAACTTTCAAAGACAACATTAAAAGGATCTTTGTTTCACTCAATAGAAAAAACAAAATATCCCATCTATAAAATGATAAAAGAAAAAGTTTTTTTCTGTAATCTTTGTTAATAGATTTTATTCAATAAGTTGCTATAATAAATCTAATAAAATTCAAAAATAATCATAATAATTTTTTTTTTAATATAAAAACTTCATCTATTAAATATTTTTTTCAAGAATAAAAACTATATTCTTTTTTTTTTACTAATCGTCCTTGGGATAGATAAAAAACAAACATGTTCGTGTTGACTTCATATTCAAAAAGACACGAGAGCTCTTTTTCTGTCTCCTTTAATCTAAAAGAAATGTTTAGATGATATTACTAATTAGTAGACTAATTGGTATATTATGGAACTTATACGTACATGAGAAGACGAGAAAAAAAAAAGACATTCATGCAAGATTTGGATTAGTATAGTTTTATAGGATAAAATTGTGATTAATCTCTTGAGATTTCTTTGTTTGAAAAAAAAAAACACCCGGATTTTGATGCATCAATTAATCCTATAGATGTATTAATTCATTAGGAATTCATTCACTTGATTTTAATGAAAGAAATAGCATGAATGCTTTCAATTTAATGACAAAAATACCTGGAAGAAAAGACCAAATGACATCGGTACTCGATCATCTTTTGCACTTAAACAAAACCAAATAATAGTCTATTTTCTTAGGACAAAGTGCAAAATACAGTTATATATATGTATATACCGTTAAAATATGTAAACTATCAAAATATTGTCATGAACTAAAAGCATCAAATAAACAAAAAATAATTGAATAGACTCTCAACACTATTTTGTCTTCTAATGACAGCTGCGCATGGTCTGGTGTCATCGTCATACATACATGTATATATGTATTTAATAATCGCGATGTATTACTTTCTTTTTTTAAAAATGCGTAATTTAATATTAGAGTTTTATTAAGTGTCCTAGTTGGATTAGATAAACATCTTTTACATTTTACTATTGAATAGATCTGCTATTCAAATATTGCCCTACATTGTTTGTCATATTAAAAGCCATCAAGTCAACATGACCTTAAATCAACTATCGGAAAAAAACATCTAATCCTATATTAAATCGCTTCATTTTAAGGTCATACTCATTTTGGCTAGGATATATTCTATCTAAAAGAGACTTTCATAAATACCACTAACTTTGACAACAATATAGAATTATTTACTTAAAAATAAAGGCTCTATGTTCTATCAAGTACTAAATACATTATGAAAAACTATTTTATATATTAATATATGTATTTTTTGATTTTGATTTCTTATTGTTAAGAGCAAACAATAATGTAAAGCCCACGGTTTCCTGTATATATTTTTATTTTATTTTTTTATTTCAGCACGCGTCAGGTCAGGAAGTAAATATAATTATTGATTGACATTGTAGGAGATTCTATTATTATTGAAAAAAAAAAAAGTTTGAAAACCTATAGATGATGCCGAAAAATTTCAAGTAAATAAGTTAATTAAATTTGTTTTCTTGTCTTAATTTAACTTTATTAACATCTAATTGAATTTCGATAATGAAATTGAATTCAATTTTCTATGAAAAACGTATCTATGAACAGCTAATTAAAGGTTTTAGTGCTATCAATTATATCACTGAATATCAAAGGACATTTTTATATTATTTTCTCTACTTGTAATCATTGTTAGACAGGGGAAATTTTCTACTACTATCAATGTCTACACTTTGATCTTCTATATTCTTATGATCAACTGACAAGAAATTAATATCTCCAGTGTCTATAGTCATATGCATATCCATCTGTTATGATAATGTCATCAAGATTACATATTCCCTAGGAAAAAAAAACCTGCTGCTACATTGGTAGAAGAATTACGTGAAACGGTTCTTCACAACTTTAACCGAAATAAAACCCTAGATAGTACAAAAATAGGGTAAAAAAAATCATACCTATAAATAATATTAAAATATTTATCATTCACGAGATGCAAGTAAAAAACAAAAAAAAAACGAATATACTTGGCTAATGTAACAGACGAAAGGTAATAATAATGCACTTTAAAATAGATTTTAGAAAATAAATATTAATCGACTTCAATTATAAATATGAAAATGAAAAAGAAAATTTTCTTTTAACCTTTTTTTTTATTAAAAATTCATTATTATTTCAACAAAAAATAACTTTTCAAATGAACAAAAATAGAATATACGTAGAATAATGGTATGTATATATATGTGTAAAAATAGATATTTTGTTAACAAGGATAGACAAGGAAATATAATGACAGTTGATTTATTTTCTATTTTCTATTAATACAATTCAATGAAAATAGACAATCTAATTATTCTAAAATGTATTTTACTTTGTTTTTGTTTATTTCAAATAGAAAAAAAATACATATATTATCTAAATACGTGTGTTTTTGATATATTGTTATTAAATTTCTATCGAAATCAATTATAAATAATATTCATCTGTCTGTTTTTTTAATAACAATACTATGAAGAAAAATTTAATTAAAAAAAAACCTACAACTTACGTCAATAGTAAGCAGAAAAGAGAAAAGCTATTATATTAATATATATACTCATTCATGGGCAAGTAAATTAGCATTTCTACAAGTAATTACTAAAGAACATTATGTCAAGCTATTTTTATAAATAAATTACTTGTAAAAAATTTGATTATATCTTCTTAGAAATTTAATCATTCGAATAAAATAGTTTCAACTGTTGATATTCATTAGTAAATGCGATATTTTTAATTATCTTTAAGTTTTATAAATACTCTCAAAAAATAATCTTTTTGTTACATCTTAAATAGAATAATATGCAAGAATACTTTTTAATTTCTTATTTTTGTTCATCTATCCTGATAAAAATACTCATATGAACGAATCAATTTAGTTTCTTTATATGAAAAGATCATAAATTTAAATAGAACAAAAAAAAACTGAGACAAATAATTTATATATGTGATTGTATTAATTATGATTTTCGAGTGGACATTTTTCTTTTTTTCTTATCTTCTGAAATTGATTGAGAGACTTACATCGAGAACTTCATTACAACAGAAGAGTTTTATCTTTAAAGTAAATATTCAATCGTCTATAATTTACTAGGTTATATCAATGAAAAAATATTTTAATAAAACTTGCATTAGATGTTTTTGTTTTTTGAATCTACGAACATATTTCAAAATTGTATAACGTACTTACTGAAAATTGCAAAATGAGAATACTTTTATTCTAACAACTCAAAAAATGCTAATGTCTTATTAATATGCAATTATTTACACATAAATTAGTGGCTTTTATTTCATTTCTACATTCATTGTTATCTCAAAAAGAAAACAACACTAGGAAATGCCTGCCCATAATTATAGAATATTGTTGTTAAAAGGAAATCTGTGACTTTTACGGAGTACATTTGATCTTTTATTTTTACAGTTGATTGTACTTTTACATGTAACTTATCTGGTTGATACTTTCTCGAATTAAATAGAACTTAATTGACTTAAAACCTGGAAGTTATATAATAATTTTCAAAATATTGTTTACTATCACTGTCATACTCTAATCAAATATTTCAAAGTAAAAAAAAAAAAAACCTAAATCATTAGTAATTAAAATTCATTTTAAATTAATAAAAATCAAAGAATAAACTACATTTAAATCAAAATGAAATTGTTAAAAAAAATTTTCTTTGATTGAACTACTCAATGAGTCTATTTTACAGCAAAATATTTAAGAAAATTTTTGAATTATAAATATAGTTTTTTATATGTAAAACGATACTAATACTATTGAGAGAAAGAGATCATCAACTTACACTTAATAGATATACGAATTGCCATAAAATGATAGTTTC